GAGGCGTGGCCTATAACAAGCACCGGCCTTGTGTACAGACTAGAGATGTGACAGCTTCCACTATCACTGATGCAAATTAACCTGCATCTTCAGTAGATGCAAATTAAAGGGTTGAGGGTACTGTATTGTGCCATCAAAGCAAACTTTGGAATCACTTTGAGTGCCTCCAAAAAGGTCGATTTGCAAATTGTAAATTATTCAGTATTAAATGAGCAGTGGGCAAGTGGAGAACCATCTCACTAGTGCTTGTATGAAGCAATATCTGCAACTATAAGGCAAGCAGAAAAAGAGAGCACTAGGGCTGACAGCAGGTCTATGGGTGCTGTTTCTGATTCTGTGCACTTGTCACAATCTAACACCAGCTTTACCTCCTCCTCTATCACTACCATCACCCTTAGGCAAATTAGTGGGGATGGTAAGCATAGTACCACTAGTCAATAGAGGCAGAAAAGTATAGAAAAAATCTATAAAATGCTTCTCTTCCCTAGCTGCTACTGCATGTGCCACTTACAACCACTTTGATTCACTGATTTAGAACTGTTTTACTGATTTATTTGTTTGCTGTTTATTTCTTGTAAAAGAGAATATTTGCTTTGCAGTTTGCTTTAGAAATCGTAAACTTCTTTCCGCAGTAATACATAATAGTAAAACCGTTTGTGCAGATTGGCTTTGGTATATGGCACCTTAGCTTGATATATTTAAAAAAACTTTTGCAGATGGGACATTATACCTCCCAAGATTCAAAATTTACATATAGGGACTTTTTTTTTTTTTTTTTTGTATGAGTGGGGGTATGACCCAGTCTGTTGTAAGAAATGGTATGTAACTTACTAATAACGATTCATGCAATTAAATAATTTAGAACAAGAACAATGTATCTTATTTTCACAGATTGATTTCTAAACACATTTATTGTAGTTTAAGGACAACTTACTATGAGTATTATTGCTGTGGAGCTCTGTTATACACTGAGACACACCAACAATATGGAGCTCCTACAAAAGAGCGACAAAGGGATTTGTGCCCAAAATAGGGACTGTTCATTGTAAACAGGGACACTTGGGAGGTATGGGACATGTGGAAGTGATTGAGCCAATGCACATGTCTCTGGTAAACTGTCCACTCCTCATAGGAGTACAGAAGAGTTGGAAGCACCACTGATTGGTAGACCTTCAGTTTCATTGGTAGGCAGATCCCTTGAATTTCCCAGATGTAAGAGTGCAATCAGTCAAAGGCATTTAGCAGTTGGCTTTAGCAATTCTGCACTTTACTTCAGCACCAATTGACCATGTTTTGGACCGTCACCAAAGGTAGAATGAATGTCCAAGATTATCAAGATATCCTAAAGGGTAATATCAGGGTGGCTAAAACTCAATAGAAGTTGGGTGATGCAGCAGGACAATGATCCTAAACATCAAAGCAAATCCACTACAGAATTGCTTATAAAAACACAACCATACTTTTGGGATGGCTCAGTCTGAGAAAAGACCTTAACCTCATAGAGATTGTGTGCAATGACCTCAAATGCAGTTCACACTAGACATCCTAAAAAATATGGTTGAGCTGAAGCAGTTCTGTAATAAAGAGTGGCACAAAATTACCGTATTTTTCGCTCCATAAGACGCACTTTTTTCCCCCTCAAAAGTGAGGGGAAATGTCTGTGCGTCTTATGGAGCGAATGTGAAGACTTACTTACCTGTCTTGGAGCGTGGGCCGGCTTCACAGTGTGCACACTTCCTTTCAGTCCCGCCGGAAACCGGAACCTGAAATAGAAGTTCCTGGACCGCGGAGCGCGCTGTGAAGCCGGCCCACGCTCCAAGACAGGTAAGTAATTATGGGACAAGGGGAGGGGGAGACACTATGGGACAAGGGGAGGGGAGGAGACACTATGGGACAAGGAGAGGGGGACACTATGGGAGAAAGGGAGGGGAGGAGACACTATGGGACAAGGGGAGGGAGACACTATGGGACAAGGGGAGGGGGACACTATGGGAGAAAGGGAGGGGAGACACTATGGGACAAGGGGAGGGGGGGACACTATGGGACAAGGGGAGGGGGGACACTATGGGACAAGGGGAGGGGGGACACTATGGGACAAGGGGAGGGGGAGACACTATGGGACAAGGGCAGGGGGGACACTATGGGAGGGAAAGTGCACTATGGGACAATGGGAGGGGGGACACTATGGGATCAGAACACTAATGGACAAGGGGAGGAGGGGTTAAAGATCATTATGGGACAGGGGAGAAAAATAAATATTCTGAACAAACTATCCCATAGTAAGAAACACTATGGAACAGTTTGTTCAGAATATTTTTTTTTCTGGGTTTCCTCCTCTAAAAACTAGATGCGTCTTATGTTGAGGTGCGTCTTATGGAGCGAAAAATACGGTACTCCCGAATGTTGTACAGGTCTTATCAACAGCTACTGAAAATGCTTGGTTGAGTTTATTGCTGCCAAAAGAGGATCAATTAGCTATGAAATCCAAGTCTTCGCTTACTTTTTCCACAGCACTGTGAATGTTTAATGGCATGTGTTCAATAAAGATATGAAAGATTATAATTGTTTGTGCATTTGTGTTATTCTATACTTGTGACATTGATTAAGATGAGATGGCCAATCGATGCAGAAAATCAGCTACTTCCAAAGGGTACACATCATTTTTTGTGCCACTGTATAAAGGCAGTTAGGTCATCCATGCAAGAATCACTTACAACCTCAGTGGCTTTAGCTTTAGACTAGTCTAACTACAGTTAATAACTTACTTATACAGCAACTTTAGTAAATAACCATGTTAGCATGCCATCCAGGAAATTAAAGACAATACAAAAGAAACAAGCAAGCTTATCTACAAACTCTCTTTTACTGTATTAACCTCTACCACTTCCATACATCCACTACCTGGATTGGCTTATCCCTCCTGGACCATCAACCCTGTTACATATCTTAGTATCATCAGCAAAAAGACATACCTTACCTTCTGCAATATCACCTCCACCTCCATTATTCCACCTCCGATCCAGTACTAGCATGATATTTAGCATACCGCAATACAAAAATAAAGTAGCTCGATCCTCGTTTTCTTACAGAGCACTGCAATTATGGATTAAACTCAGAGACACAGTCAAATCTTCATGCAATCTACAATCTTTTAAGAGATCTATACCTCAGCACAGAATGCACCGGTCATGGATGAATATATTTATTACCTGTTATGTATTAAATTTATGTGTGTGTGTGTGTGTATATATATATACACATTTTTTTATTATTGTATATTGTATTTTTGTAACAATGCATGTTTTGTGAACCCAGGACATACTTGAAAATGAGAGAAATCTCAATATATTCATCCTGGTAAAATATTTTCTAAATAAATAATTGTTCTCAATTAATTGTGTTTAAATACATTAGCCTGGTCCTTACAAATATTTATATTTGTAACTTTCCTAAAATTCTATGGGATTGGAATACACTAATGTCATTGGAGAGAAGAAAACATGAGGACTGAAATTGGAATGACATACACTTTAAAACATTGACATCTATTGGCCTTCACATAGATTTTGATGTTTAACCTTTCTTTGTATCTATTGTTTGGAGATATGGTGTTACTATAAGATGTGATTATAATATTTATCCACTAGATGTCACCATTATAACATCCATTGTGTATCTATATCACTGTAATCCTACATAGAAAACATTTTCTACATTTGTACCACATGAGGTCACCATTTTACTTTAGAATACAATTATTTATATCGTGCAAACATATTCCACATTGCTGTATAATAGGTATTCAAGACAAAAAGGTGAAGAGAGGGCCCTGCCCAAATGAGCTTACAATCTAAACGGATGAGAAAGAAATACACCGGGAATTGTGTATTACATGATCTGTATGCACTTGAAGCATGGGGGGGGAGAGGGGAGGGAGGGCACAGTGAGCAGAGAGCACAGTAGATGGAAGATGGGAGAGGAAGGTGGAATGGGATGAAGGCTTAAGGGGGAAGCTGGTAAGCTTCTCTAAAGTTGTGTGCTTTTTAGGGATATTCTGAAGGGCAGAGACATGGAGAGTTGAATGTGAGGCAGGTGAGCATTCCATAGGGAGGGGGCAACTCCAGACAAGTACTGCAAGTGAGGGTGTGGATGCAGAATGGGGCAGTAACATGTCGTCAGCAGAGTCAGGAGGCCAGGCTAGAACATATTTGCTCACGAGAATGAGATGAGGAGATGTAAATATGGGTATGGTTATGGAGAGCTTTGTGAGTAAGCATGATAATTTTTAACGGTATCCTAAATGGAACAGGAGGTCAGTGTCGAGACTGACAGATGGGTGAGAGTTGCCGGATGTAAGGTAGATGAATCATATTATTATCTTATGTTACACGTTATTTTGTATTTTGACCACAAGAACCACTAAATGCAACTTTCATTTCCAGTCAATTACATATAGAATTCAATCTATTTTTTTTTTAAATATTTTAAATAATCTTTCCCCCTAATAATGTTAATCTTCCTAATCTTTTTAGACTTATGACATTTTCTTCTTTTTTTTTTGTTTGTAAAATATCAATGTTCTGTAGAACGTGGCACACTGTGCCCATTGAGTCCTTTATACTCATGAGCAGCCATGTCATTGCTATGCCCAAATAGCTGCAAACACATATGTTGTATTAATTATGGACACTTTGCCACACAGGAATGATGCAAATCATAAACATTTCCTTTAAATCCATCTGTAATGTCTCTAATATATACAATGTTACATTACCTAATTGAACAGGTTCCTTCTTGTGAAATAAAATTAATAACAATGATATAAAAGTCCTGCTGTCCGACATAACACTGTTTTGTTTTGTTTTTTACTGACATCTCAGTGCTGAGAGAGGATATGGTGGCACTGGCGGGTGAAATACAGAAAGTTGAGGAGAATGTTGGTAATTATGGAAGCAAAGAGCAGGACATTGCTTAGTGTATCTACAACAGAAACAATACTTAAATGAGACTAAATTTGCCTCCATGGAGGACTTTCGCCGGCATTAGAATCTATGCATTAGAGATACCTTAATTGCTCAGGAGGCTTTGGACTTCCTTCTAGGGCTAAAGGCATTACAGTGGACTATCACTTTTCAGAGACCAGACCCGAAAGAGCACCAACTGATGTTCCCAGAGACATTTTGATATGGACAAGGAGGTCCTGACTTAAGACATTAAAATAATCAGAAGCAACCTGATACTGCTGGGGAAATATCACATGCAACATTAATCGTGGCACCATCTCTTCAGCGGCCTTGCACCTTTTTGTGGTTTTCCTTAGACCCAATAGCATGTTCCTTGTTTACTGTCTATTTTGATAATGATCTTGGCTTACTCATTCGCTCTACTGATGTCTCCATTTCGTGACCTTGGCTAGTTATTCAGTTTCTTCTGATCTTTCCACATTCTCACCTTGACTTGTTTGTCTGACTGTACTGCTATTATGACCTACAATAGGCTTATTGTTAAGCCCTGCCACTCCAAGGACAGGTAATAACAGGTAGGGACAGATAGGTTAGACTCTCTTTATCACATTACTCTCTCTTTGTTTTTTCTGGGTTTGGGATCTGCATGCTATGGTCCCTGGTTATCTTGACAATTGTAAATAAAATAAATTTTCAGACATTTTTTTTGTATATTTTTAGATGATGCCTTTTTACTGATATATTAGAATAAATTTCTGATGTTAATGTTATTACCTTTATGTGTAGATTTTTTTGTGTTAGGTGTATTAAAGGAACACTCCACTGCAAACAATTAGAAATCACAGTTCTGTAGATATAACCCCAATGGATATATGTATGCATTTTCATGGTATATCTTAAAACAGACATAAAAAAGGAGCTATCTATTAAACAGCTCCCTAATTTGGTTCCCTTAAATATGGCAATCCCACAAGGGTACCATTTATGACAGCGATGGTGAACCTATGGCATGCGGTCTACAGCTGAGACCAAGAGGCCTCTTAGTTGAAATGCAAGACCTAAACTTGCCAAAGCTTTGCATAAGAACTCCTCAGGCACACTGAGCTATTCTCTTATGCTTCCTCCTATCCTAGGTTAGGACTATGCTAGGAGTACAGCACACAGCTCTTCTTCCCCTCAGGTTAGTGACAGGCAATTAGTGAAGCAGCCTAAAACTTGGGGTCCTGGCAAACAAACTGTGCAGGGAGTGGAGTATTAATAAATTGAAAGTCTGTCACTGCATCAAGACCTCCCACCCTGGGTAGCTCCCTCCCTACTCCCCCGGGACATCTAATCGATCCTCTGCGGCTATTTCTCATCATCACATTGGATCTCTGGCCAGGAGAATAAGGTTGTCTTGCCATATACAGTTTTCTGGCACCCCTGGGGCTAGTAAAGATGTCAGTAAGCCCTATGTGGGGAATGGGAAGGCTACTGTAACCCCTGTAACTGTTGTCATTGCCTTAGGCTAGTGGTGACAGTGGTCATACTTTTTTTTGGATGGGGAGGGGGTGTAACATGTTTATATATCCAGTTTGTTGCCAAATCCTGTAGATACCAACTGAAAAACATAGCCCGCATCAGCCCCTTTCTTACACAAGATGCTACCAAGGAGCTTGTCCATGCTCTAGTAATTTCCCGCATGGATTATTGTAACCCTCACCTGATTGGTCTCCCCAAAAGCCGTATTGCCCCACTACAGTCTGTAATGAATGCCGCCACCAGACTTATTTTCCTCTCTAGTCGGTCCTCTCACACCTCACCCCTCTGCCAGTCCTTACATTGGCTCCCTGTATACTATAGGAGTCAATTCAAAGTGCTAACCCATACATTTAAAGCACTGAACAATTCTAGCCCCTCGTATCTCTTCACAGATCCAAAGGTATGCCCCTCCTTGTTCCCTCCACTCTGCCCATGACCACCTACTGACCGCTGCTCGCACCCGTATGGCCAACTCACGCTTGCAAAACTTCTCGCGGGCGGTTCCTTTCCTATGGAATAGCCTGCCTACCCCCATTAGACTCTCCCCTTCAATCCTTTAAAGGAACACTATAGTCACCTAAATTACTTTAGCTAAATAAAGCAGTTTTAGTGTATAGATCATTCCCCTGCAATTTCACTGCTCAATTCACTGTCATTTAGGAGTTAAATCACTTTGTTTCTGTTTATGCAGCCCTAGCCACACCTCCCCTGGCTATGATTGACAGAGTCTGCATGAAAAAAAAAACTGGTTTCACTTTCAAACAGATGTAATTTACCTTAAATAATTGTATCTCAATCTCTAAATTGAACTTTAATCACATACAGGAGGCTCTTGCAGGGTCTAGCAAGCTATTAACATAGCAGGGGATAAGAAAATCTTAATTAAACAGAACTTGCAATAAAGAAAGCCTAAATAGGGCTCTCTTTACAGGAAGTGTTTATGGAAGGCTGTGCAAGTCACATGCAGGGAGGTGTGACTAGGGTTCATAAACAAAGGGATTTAACTCCTAAATGGCAGAGGATTGAGCAGTGAGGCTGCAGGGGCATGTTCTATACACCAAAACTGCTTCATTAAGCTAAAGTTGTTCTGGTGACTATAGTGTCCCTTTAAGAAGTGCCTTAAAACCCATCTCTTTAGGAAAGCTTATGGCCTCCCAGAGTAGCCTCTACCTTACATACCTGTCTCTTGTTCTCTCCTATAGGGCAGTGCTTTATTCTCTCCTCCAGCTCTGCTTCACTCTCACCCTATTTAATTGATATTTCCTGTCCTCACGTGTCTTATACCCCACCTCCTTTAGACTGTAAGCTCGTTTGTGCAGGGTCCTCTTCAACCTATTGTTCCTGTAAGTTTTCTTGTAATTGTCCTATTTATAGTTACATCCCCCCTCTCATAATATTGTAAAGCGCTACAGGATAAATGGCGATAATAATAATAATATATAATTAGATATTTCAGACAACAGTTTTATATTGCATATATTGTTATTAACTGGAAAATAAAATCATCTATTTTGCTTGGTCAAAAACTTTTTGAAATAGAACCATTATCATCATTAGTAAATTACAAAACAACCAATCTTAGTTACAGCTCACAATATAAACCGTTTATCAGTGCAGGTATTACTTATACAAAACTGGCTATAAAGATTACAATCACAAAATAGAAAGCACATTTAAATCACAAATGACATAATTTATTTGACCTGTTATTCAAGAAAGCTTTACTTTTGTAGCCACGCTGTAATGTGAGTTGACATCATCTTAAAAAATATATATTTTATGTATCTTAATTTAGTACTATACAGATCCAACCCATTACTTCTACAGTGTATAATCAGTTGTCTCTCCATTGCACCTAGAAGCTTAGTAACTCATGGAAAGTATTTACATTTTTACTTTCTGCACATGGAAAGTATTTACATTTTTGGTTTACTGATTTTAATAAATATATTTTGTCATTTTAAACAGAACTACTGTAAATATGATGCTGGATTTAAAGACTCTTAAAGCCTTTTCAGAAAAAAATATAGATCTAGAACAGACCTGGCTGTCTTCTACTTTTAGAATGCTTGTCATCCACTGAATGTGCCATTAACCTAAATAATTAAAATTAACAAACCAATTTGCTGTACCTGCACTGATTTACTGAAAAAGAAAAATAATTGAGAAAAAAAAAGTCTAATAATAAATAAGCACAATTTGAACGATTAAAATATTTATAAATTTTTTGTTATTGGTGTTTCAATGGTAAGCTGCCAGGGGGGCGGTCGGACCACTGAGTAAAATGGACGCTTAAGTTATAGTTCCGGCATTTGGGCTCCGACACTACTCGATTAACTGTACACAAATGTTGGCGATGGAAGACCCCTGCACCTCGGATGGCTTAATGAAAGAATTCGCCACCAGATCCCTGGAAGCTCTTACAGATAAGCTGGTAGCAACATGGCCACATACTGCAGACCAGTTGCGCAAAGAAGTCACAGATCTGGGCACGAGAACGTCCCATATGGAACAGAAGGTCCGTGAAATTGCATCCACATACAATGAATTGGTGGTTCATGTACAAGCTCTAAAGGGCCAGGAGGACTTTCTGGAAACATGGATGGCGGATACCGAAGAAAGGGTTGAAGGAACAATCTAAGCTTGAGTGGAGTCCCGCACAAGTGTATGTGCGCATCCTACTACAAGCGTATGCTCCTGGGAACCTGGCAGACATGCTTTTAGTGGACTGAGTAGCCGCGCTACTTACCAGATTCAACACTGAGGGACATAATACTTAAGGCACACTACTTCCACATCAAGTAACTAATCCTGAACTCAAGCAAGGCATTTCATCCAGTAACAGAAGTTCTTCGAGACCAGTGCAATCGCTACAGGTGGGGGTACCCCACGAAACTACTAATCACTTGCAACGGCGGGATCGAGGTGCTTTGATCACCTTCTATGGGGAGAAGAAGGTCTACAATTGTTGACCGAATGGGGCATCCCTACACAAAAGTCGCCGAAAGCCGCAAAATCTCCCAGTAAGCTCTCACCCAGATGGCACAAAATTGCAGCATAGACAGAGGCACTGACAAGGAACCCTAAGCTGTCGTTGCTGCAAGCTGCCAGTATAAAACACTATAAGGATGAGGTATTTTTGGTTAACACACTTCCCTACATGTTTATAATTTTTCAGATAAATAGTATTATCGTGTGAATTATAAGGTACTGGTGTATGCTAACAGAACAGAAGGAAAAAAGGGGGAGGGGTAAAGGTAATAATTGACAATGATTTGATAGTACTGATAAACATTAGTACATTTGTGATCACTTCTGTCCAACATTTACTTTTACAATTAGCCGTAGGCTTAGTATGTAATGTTAATATTCAACTATGGCGGTTACCAGATTTTATCATTTTGAATGCGCCAATCTCCATGTGTCCCACATCTCCCAGGTTGCTAAAGTTACTTTGTAAGAGGGGCAAATACTATTGTAGCAACGTTCATAAATTCTTCAGCTCAGTTTGCAGGCCTCCTTTTAGAGGAAGCAAAACGCAATAAGGTAGACATCATATCTGTCCAAGAAACACACTTTGTAACTAATAGGATACCACAGGTCAGCCACAGGGACTATCCCACACAATGCCATGGAACTCATACATCTAAAACCCGAGTAGTTTCCTTCTTATTCCATAAAAAAGACAGTCAAGGCAGATACCTGATATTGCATTTCATAACCTATAATGTACCCTATGTACTGATGGGATTTTAAAGTCCAAATGATCACCAAATAAATTTTCTACACAGAGTCCTAACAAAATTACCACAAACAAATACAGACCAGCTAATCCTTTGCAGAGATCTCAATCATATACTCAACTCACACTCAGACATTACCCTACCGCGCACAGCCCCCAGATATGGGACACTAAAAACCCAATGTAATGCACTTACTAAATTAATTATGAAATGTGGACTGTATGATGCATGGAGGGCCTGTCTTCCGAACATCCAAGACTTTACCTATTACTCCAAAGTGCGCAAATTGCACTCCAGGAACATCCTGGTTTTGGGGCCTTTAATATAGAACATAGTACAATGCTCCATATTAAAAATCCAATCATGCACCACTCGATCTGAAACTAGGTGGCCAGTACAAACACATAGGTAGGCCTCCCTGGAGCCTTAACACTTTGTTACATGACCAAGAGATACCCTAAGATATATGTCAAATGCTCACTATATACAGCCATCAGACCAACACTCTAAGATCATCAAGGAAACAACCAAACATAAATGAAATGCAACTTGCCAAAACCACATGCATGTTTGAAAAATTAAAATTACAACACTATTCACAGGGTAACAAAGCAGGGAAAGAATTAGCAGCCATACCACGAAAAAGACAGGCTCAATCTAAAATAGCATATTTGCTCACAGCCACAGGAGCTAAACTACATAACCCCCAGGACATCAATGATGAGATAGTAGCATATTACCATGCACTATATAACCTTAAAAACGGCACCACCATACACCAACCATCCACACAAGATATAGAACACTTTTAAAGCCTCACAACCTTACCCACCTTATCCCAACACCACCAGACGACACTACAGGCACAAGTAACAACACAATAAATTATCCAAACAATCCAAACCCTCCCAGAGGGCAAATCTCCTGGCCCTGACTGACTCACGAACTCCTATTATAAACAATTTGCACCACTTTTGGCACCACACCTGGAAAACCCATTTAGCCACATTTTAAATACCAGAACCATATTAACTGAAATGTTAATAGCACATGTTACCACCATGCCAAAATCTGGTAAACCCTCAAACAGGAGCCCAAATCAAAGACTCATATCACTCCTTAATATGGATATTAAATTGTTGGCAAAAATCTTCTCCAACAGGCTTGCGTCCATCGTCTCCACATTGATAGGCGAAGATCAGGAGGGTTTGTGAGTGATAGACATAGAGAAGACGGCACCCGAAAATTTTTGAACCTGCTATATGGGCTGTGAGGAGGGGGGCCCCTAGTGTATTTATCTTCTTGTATGCGGAAAAAGCTTTTGATAGACTGCACTGGCCCTTTCTCCTAGCGGTCCTCTGCAAATTTAACTTCCCATCTCAGTTCTTGACCCTTATATCCTCATTATATTCTACACCAACCATCTGAGTGGTAAATGGGGGTTTCATATCCCGCCACTTTATTAGGGGGCTCTCTTTCCCACTTCCGTTACATCTTAGCCTTAAAGGACATGAATACAAATTGACTATTTTTTCAGATGACATATTTTAGATCAACGACACTTATCCCTGCCAAACTTCTATGCCATCTTATCTCAACACAGCAGATGATCCTATTATAAGCTCTACATGTTGAAAACCCAAGCTATAAGCATTAACATACCCGAGAACATCTTAGAAAAGCTAAAACACAATTTTGCCTATGATTGGAGAAATGACAATCTAACATTTCTGGGTGTGTGGCCATTACTGCCAACACCAACAATTTATACAAATCAAACTATTTAAAACTACTGAATGTGTTTTAGATCAAAGAAAACTTTGATTATTTGTCTATCTACTCCTTTCTAACTTGATTGTGCGCATGTCTTCTGGAAGTAAATCACACCGGACACATTGCAGGTTTATGAAGAACTCCAGAGTGGCCTTTATTCCAGGGGGTGCAATTCCCTTTTAAAGCAGAAATACGTAATGTACAGAGTCACAGTTAACACGCAGTATACATTCATCAATTGGTTAACAGTCTAAGGGGTCTTTTCTAAACCCAACCTACTGGGCGTGACCCCAGCATCATCACATGACATTTCTTTGTATCCCAGCCCCATTCCAGCTCCATTTTACTATATGTGGCATGTTTCTATAGAGCTTTAGTTGCACAAAGGAAGTGGGGGAGGAGTTAGTAAAGGAAGCTGTTCCTTTAACACAGGAATTTGTTACACGAGGCTTGCTCGATGGGAAGGGGGGAGGCTAGCAGGATGGGAGGAATTTGCAGAGGAAATAGTGACTGAACACATTGTAGGGGGGGGAAGGGAATATTTACTCTAGCAGCCAGTTTTAACATAGTGAACACAGAATAAATAGACATTAGTAAATAGCCATTTTATTTTAATTCTTCTGTCCATAACAAATGCAATTAAGACTTATTTAATGAATTGGAAGGGGAAATATCTCATGGATGGGGAGGATGGCTATTCTTAAGATGACAATATTACCGAAAATACAGTATCTCTTTAGGACATTTCTGATCAAACTTCCCGCCGGTTATCTCACGGAAGTGCAAAAACTGCTTAATACCTTTATTTGGAGACACATAGGTCCCAGAGTAGCAAAGACAACACTATATAAACCCTTCTCACGTGGAAGAATGGGGATGTCTGATCTTCTAGGATACTATAGGGCAGACTTGATAGGATCATTGCTATTCAGCTTTTCTACGCATTACGCCACACCAATTGGTGTATATTAAATCCATTTACTCGAATGGCAGCACACTTCCCACTCTAGCATGGATACCCCAAAACTAACGACCAAAGCTTCGAAACATGTTACCCACCACGATACTCACACTTAAAGTATAGGACATGAAAACCGAAACTGACTGGGACAAATAGATATAATATCACCTGCACTCCTTATTATGGCACTTTCCCAACTCATCCCAGACTTTAATTACAAACAATGACTCACGGTATCATCACTATGCACCAATTATTAAGAGGATCTAACTTAATATGCTTCACTGATGTCCACACTCAATATGGTATAACTCATATAGCTAATTTATCATACTTACAATTGCAATCTTGGTTGAAAAAACAAACTGTATTGTTTAACATGTATGTACAAGGGCAATGGCTGATGGATGCAGAGTAAGTCTGCTTAAAGATAAAAACCCTAAAAAACTTATTTCCATTATCTATGCTGAGGAACACGCCATGTTTAAACTAACCACTTTTACTTTTATAACATCAAGGAAAAGATCTAGCATACTCCCTACTTGAACCATTATAATAATAACAACAACAACAACAACAACAACGTATTTAACCAGGAAAGGCACTGTAATGGACTGCCTGGCACTCCGACTGGGCACGTACCGCTTCCTAGCTGGAACAGGGGACAAACCGCAGCACTTCTTGCCCTCAGTCGCTGTGGCTTGATTGGGGTCCTGGAACCGCCACCTCCTTCCTGGAGCCGAATGGGAAGTTAGCTCTGACACTCCCAGGCACTGTAAGACACTGAGTCTTGGGAACTCTGGAACCGAATGGGGAATTAGCTCTAGTCCTTACAAGGACTTTCCACGTTGAATCTCCTGCAAGCTGGAATAGCAGACACAGGAGCAAATCTTCTTTCTCTCCAATAACAGGACGACACACAGTTTTGGAGTATAAGCTGGAAATGCAGTCTAATGGAGGCACACTGCCTTTTATACAAGTTTCCCAAAAAGGTTGACGCCCAGGTGGACCTTGTTGTGCACAGGACACAAAGTATAGAAGCCAATCAAAACAATGTAACAATGAATGGCACTCCCACATACAGTACACAATCCCTCCCCTCTGCCTGTGATACAATTAAGGTAGATAATACAATAACTTAATTATCCCTAGACAGAAAAAACA